ATCTATCTATCTATCTATCTATCTATCTATCTATCTATCTATCTATCATCTATCTATCTTTTTAAACACATGGTGAAAGCAAGCAGTCATATGGTTAATGTAGGATAGTTGAAGATGGCAAGGATAAAAAAAAAAAAAAGACAGCTGTTGCAATTCTGCTGACGAGGAAAGGCTGAGTCCCTTGGGTAATACATGCAAATACAAGTAAAATGGTATGTAGGATTGCGCTCTCTCTCTCTCTCTCTTTTTTCTCTCGGCAGAAGGCAAGGCCCATCAGAGGCTGAACACATACCTACAGCTCTGACTGTAGCCCCTCAGGGAAGTCTCATTGGCTTTCCTGGCATGCATTTCAGAAACGAAAAAAACAACATGGGGCAGTCACCCGTGTTGCAACTGACCAGTCTAAAGCTGCTTTAACATCCACTCTATTTTGACTCTTGCACACCATTTTCTTCCCCTAGCATTCCTGAGTTTTCAAAGCCATAGTTTCTCAGAAGAACAACCCAAGCAGACAGCAAGTACGGAGAGCTGGTTGGTAAGCAGTAAAGCTGAGAATGGCCGGAAATAACTTTAGCAGAACAGGACTGAATCTGGCACTATTTCTTAGCTAGCAACCATTGAAATTTGCATCCCTTCCAATTATGTGCGAGTTATTCAACAGAAGCTTGGTTGGCCATCAGGACTTAGAGAGTAAAGCACTGTAAAGTGGTATTTAAGTCTAAGTGCTATTGCTATGGCTGCAACTGATCATTTTTGTAATCCTCATGCAAATAGGAGTGGGATCCTAAACAAAATGTGGTCCTGAGGTCAGTTCCTTTTTTGAAGTGCTAATTTGACCATAAAAATAATAGAGCATCTATTCTAGAAAGGACCGAGTTGAAGCAATAGCTTCAAATAGCTGTAGCAAGCTGACAGACAATATCCAGTATTAGAGATATTCAAAAGACTATATCTCAAAAATAATCCCTACCAATTATGCAAAAGTCATTCAAGAGGGACTTTGTTGAGTGACGACCATAATACTCTAGAAATGACATGATATTTCAAAAATAGCACTTGATTCTCCCTCTTACAAGCCATCTTTGATACTATGGGGAATCTAACTCTTCATAATCTTTGAGATTTTGAGAAACATTCACCTCAAAGTTATCCTCCTATATTAAGGATCTTGAGCCTAGTTCTCCTCGTGGAAATGCCCACAGACAGACCACTAATGTGTAGAAAGTACATGACCAAATGTTGCCTTCCATACAATGAAATTCAGCCCAGTAAAATCAACGTAATATTGAAAAAAAAACCAGCTAAATGCTCATGCTTTTATTGCCATTAGCAGTTTTTGACACGTGCATCGGGATCTAAACCTCATACAGCTTAGAGCAACATGTTTCATCCAGTGAGACTTTATGCACCCTTGAGAAAGCCTTCAATGCCCTAAATAGTTTCCCAATTAATATACGCAGCTTGATGACTAAAGCACAAAATAGAATGTCTTTTCTTAAAAAAAAAAAAAACCAAAAAACGTCAGCCGTGACTTTAATTGCTTCATACCCAGTTCTAAGTCATTGACCAGCTGACTAAGCTGCAACTGGCAGGATTGACATATGTTGCTATGTCCTGAACCACAGCTGATATCACAGGTTCATACAATCTTAAACTAAAACATTACAATTTAATATCTCTGTGCCTAATGTAGAAATGGAGTTTGAATCCTTGGTCCCTATCAAGCTCCCTGTTTTCCCTACTATCATTTTTTTCTTCCTAATATTATTTCTTTTCTTTTCTTTCTTTTTTATTTAAAACAATGACAAGACATAGCACTTAGCAATAGCACTTAGAATTATAAGCCGCTTCACAGGGCTTTACTCTAAGTGGTTTACAAAGTCAGCATATTTCCCCCAACGATCTGGGCCCTTATTTTACCGACCTTGGGAGGATGGAAGGCTGAATCAACCTAGCCTGTCAGGATCGAACTCCTGACAGTGAGCAGAGTTAACCTGCAGTACTGCATTCTAACCACTGCACCACCAGGGCTCTTATAGCATGGCTCGCAATTTCCAACTCTGGGACTCTCAATGATCATATCATACTCAGACAGCATAGAAAATCATAGCAATAAGTAACCCCAATATCAGTAGCTGAGAAAGTCCAGGAAAAAACAAACTAACAAAACTAATAGGTCAACCATTCCATAAGAGGTCTACTTCCATTCAACAGAAGACACAAGCTGTAGTCATCATGGGTCAAGATGGAAGCCATATGAATATCAGGGGGAAACTATTCCAGAGAGCAAGAAGAGAAGACCCATTTCTTGAATGCCATCAGATAATAATTTAATGGATGTAACTTGGAACATAAACATGCAAGTAAAATGGTGGACATCTGACACCTCACTTGCCATCTTGAGGAATTTAGGATTGGCCTCCTGATGACAACCATAACATATTCTCAACATCCCAGGGACAAATAAAAGTCTGTGATCTCAGTATCTAAAAACAGTGTGTGGTTTATCAACATCCCCAGGTGCCAAGATGATCTTCAGAGATATTTTTTAGGTTATGTCCTCCAGTTTTTTGCTTTTCTCCATTTCTTTTCTTTCTCTTCTTCAATTTTATCGGGCCTGTTCCCAAATCCTTTTGGACAATTCTTTTCCAGAAACTGTCATAAAAATATTTCTACCCACATCTCCCCAGAAGCAAGCA